GCTTAATTTGTTGAATGATGGAGTTGCAGTTCAATTGAAACTTTACATTAGATTTCAGTCAAACCATGAACAAAATTTGAATATAAAAGAGGATCCTGAATCCTGATGGCCTTATAGTCTTGACCAGCACAAAAGCAATGGGGACCCTACTAGAAAGCTAGGAATGGGCTCCAAGCGGCAACCATGAGATCAGCCCTTCACTGGCGGTCATTACATTGGGTGAAAACTTTGATATTACCATTCAAATTCTTCCTATTCATCCAGAAGGAAACATTTAAGGGAAGAAGCATGACCCACTGAACCAAAACGTTGGACATGTAATTAATGAAATGAATCGTCTGAAAGCCTAGAATTCATGATAGCCAAAACTACATGATCAGTTTGCTTGTGAACTTTTTTATTACCCCTATTCTCCATAGCTCACAGATAACGAATTTTTTTGTGATACAAAACATTTTTTTTTATGATTTTGAAAATAATGTTATTATCCCTTTCAATCAAAATCTTTGCAATCGTTCTTTATTAATTTGTGAGATGCAGGAGAAGTACATGCACTAGAAGTCAAACCCATGAATCCTACTCAAAACTCGTCCACTTCAACCACTTCAAATAAAATGTAACATGTCGTTTTTAAGCGTCCTAGTCGTGGAAAAACTCAGCTCTTTTTTGGGTTTTTTTTTTCCCAATCGGATTGTGCCTAGCAACGCCTAGCTATGCTTACCTATAAATATACCCTGCCCCCATCATTATCGCTTGGGGCTTAATATCAGGGCCATAGACACTCCTTGATACATACTCATGGGTGTTTGTAGGTTGCAGCTTCACGTTTTGTTGAGTTCACAGGTTTCTAACTTACTGATACAGTCATGTCAGATTCAAATCTCAAGGTCTTCACAACCAGAAATGGAAAGGGTTTACAAATACAGTTTCATTAGAGTTATTATTCCTTGTGATTTTGATGTAGCATATAGCATTTTGCTATATCTGAGAGATTATTCTTATCATTTAGATCTTGTTTATCCCCCCCCCCCCCAAAAAAAAAAAAAGAAAAGAAAAAAACTGTCAATTACCACTACATTATTGTTATTATTATTTGGCTGACAAGTGTGATGGATGGAGAAAATGAAATGTGGTTTACCACACCTAACAAAATTGAAGAAAAGGCCAAAATCTGTACTGAAAAGCATATGCATCCTAGCAATAAAGAGTACCAAAAATATGCATCAGATCGATCTTTTGTGTCTCAGTATTGTCAAACTGCCATCCATTGTGCATCATATCAAGGGCCCCTTTCCATACAATGCTTTATCACAACATTATTTATGGCTACTTGGCTTCATATAGCATTGGATTTAATTGGCAAGACAGCTTGTACTGGTTTTTTTAAAGCTTAGCCCACGTTCAGTTGCTATGATCAATTTCAAAACCAAAAAAAAAAGCCCGTGAGTGTCAATTTCGAGACATTTTACAGGCAGAAAACTCATCCAGGACCAAACCTAACATGTTATTATTGTTCTGAATTAAGCTTTTTTAGTGCTTTTATTACAATTACACTGAAAATAAAATAAAAAAGTATGCATCTGTCAGAGATGAGTATGTGGTTTATGGCCAGAAGTTTCATAAATGGTGTCACAGACATTTCATAAGGACTGGTGATAATGTGGGTGATAACAATAATAACGATCGGGAAGAAGAGACAACATTGTCTGTCTACCACCAAGTGCTATGTATGTGCTCTCTATCATGGACTGCATTTTCCTCTCCCGATATTTCATTGGAAACTCTATCCATGAGGTCACACAGTATTTATCAAGTCTTTATCATTTGCAGGGTTGTGGTTGTTCCATCATCCAAGACTCTCACACCACCTTTTTCATCTTGGTCCCAGGAAAAATTTATAAGACCATCTGTCGGTCCATCTACATTGTCCGCATACTTGATTTTTCAAGGTCTTTTTATCGAGGCATGGGAGAGCAATTCTGAGAACATGGGGCACTACTCTTACATAAATCTATATACTATCTTGTCCTCTTTGCTTGCCCCATTTGACAGCCTTGACGTTCATATGTTGTCTGTTTTATTTCTTTACCATGAAATAATCATTTAACTTACAAAACCATATATATATGTTCCTGTTGATATCCTTTACTGAGCTATGACCTTATTCTACCTTTCATAGATCTCAACTCTTACTAAAAACATAAGAAATCCTTCAATAATATGAAGTCTAATGTTGAAGTCATACGTTTAGCCCTTAAGACATCTTCCTATGACTTTGACTCTTTGAGTTTGACAATGTGAGAGCTAAGAAATAAAGGGCACACTCATTTTTGCTTTGTTTCTATACATAAATGTGTGTGTGTGTATATATATATATATATATATATATATATATATGTTGGTCAAACTGATGAAAGTTGTCAGTATTTTTTTTTCTTTCTTCTAATAGTTTCTGGATCAACTTGTGCCATCCATGACTAATTTAGAGAAAGAATCTTATGGAGTACATCAAGAAAGAAAGAAATGCTCCCCATGTATGGTTTGGTGAAATGGGGAGAAGGTAACAATCCAAGAATAAAGGTATCTTGTTTGTCTAACTACATAGAAATTCAAGATTATTCTTAAAACATGACAGCCATAAATCTAACAGCACATTCCCTTTTGTGAAACCTGCTCTTTTTTTTCTTTTCTTCCTTTCTATTTCCTTATATCTGTAATTTTTTGGTGTATAAATGTAGAATTATTTTTGCTTTTTTTTTTTTTTTTTTCACACGGCCTTGGGAAATCAATTAATATAGGCAACTACATTGGACAATGCAATGTGATGGGCATGTGATCACAATCAGATTCCAACTTATCTTCAAGTTAGAGACACAGCTAAAGTTGCATAATAATATGTACTAGTAATTAGATATGCCTGTGAATGTGATCCAATCTACTGCAGACAGCTTATTATATTCAAAGAATAAAGTCTTGGGTTTACTTTCTAGATATCAAATTAACTGTTTTCATCAAACTTTGATATGCCTTAAACCATTAAAAAAAAAAAGAAAAAAAATTATTTCTCAGTTATTTCTTTGCTTCTTTTATATTTTCTTCAAATTGTCTGTCAGAATTTGCTTGAAAGATCACTTTCTTTGATGCCTTTTTATCAGAGTCTCTTGGTTTCGAGGAAAATTTTTTACCTGAATTCCAAGATTCAATTGTATTGTAATGCAGCAGTTTGTACAAGGCAGAAGTTTGCTTCTGTTACAAGTTTAGCAGATAGCAATAATTTCGAAGGCAAAAGAGAGAATTCCTCCATTCATGAACTTGGAATTATATTCCAGGATTTAAGGGATTTACAGGGCCAGGCATAGCCTAATTATTATAGTAAAGAAAATTATCTAACAAATCAATCCTGATTCCTTCCTACCCACTTTTCAAAAGAGAAATGGGAGAGCTTCAAACTCAACCAAGGTGGCTGCTTACGGACTTTATATATTTATAATTTTTTCAAGCCAATTTTTTAACAATCCATTCCCCACTTGTTTAATTTATTGTTTTTTTTTTTTTCAATAATTAAGTAACAGAAGAAGAGGTAAAGCCTCCCAATTTCTAGGGATGAGTCTGGTATGGGTGAGACGAAAGCTAACATCACGGATCATCATACCGGAGCCGTCTTGGAAATTTTGGATTGTGGACCCGTCCATTAATCTCTAGGACTGCAGACCATGCGATTTAGTATCGATCCTAGATTTTTAAAAAAATTAAATTATATATACTAAAACAAGAACAATTTCTAATCCAAATAAAATTTTTAATATATTTTTTAAAATTCACGTTCTTGGATTCGAATATCGATTTTATGATTTTTTTTTTCGTTCCGGGATGAATGAACAAGTACTTAGAATCATGAACCATCATAATAGTATGCATTAAAATTGTAAATCACTCTTAGAATTTTAGGGTCACCAAAATATTGATCCAAAATCGTTTGTCAAGGATGCTCCTTGGACAACCCTGAATTCGTTGCTCACCCCTGCTAATTTCCCTACCCTGCTCAATTCGTGATAAAGGTAAAAAACCACCAAAAGATTTTGCTCTGTCAAGTTAGCCCCACAATAGCTTGAGAAAAGGTTTTCAGAACACATGCAGAAAAGACATGCATAAAACCATGGGATTTTGTCTCCAAAACTGACCCAATGAAATGGAAATATTGATCATGCGCTGTTACCATTCATATAACTAGCTGCTATATATCTTTCTTTCAGTTCTCCAAATCTGATCTTACATTCTTTTCATCTATATATCAAAGCAGGGATTCAGCTTTTTGTTTTTCTGATATATTATATCCACTTAACCTGTGTAGCTCACCCAGGAGCAAATTGAATTACCAATGTTTGACTGAAGCTCCTCCCTTTTTAAAGCTGCCAAAGTAGTGACTAATAATTTCTTCTCATCAACCTTTTGAAATAGGTAGTATGTTTTCAAGGGATTAATTTGCCTCCAAAAGGCAATAATTAAAACCATTTATAGTGGTGGTTGATGTCTATAATGGAGACATTGTGCATCTCAGCAACACATGGACTGTTGATTGAATGATATGAACCATTTGGGTTTTGATTGATTGATCCTTTTAATTGCTATTGGACAGGGTTAATTCTTGTTTTGGCATTAATTCTAAAAAAAAAAAAAAAGAAAAAGAGTTACTGCTAAATTGACACAAGAAAATGGTAGATGGATGGTGTTTTAAAACCATGCAGAAAAATTAACCTCAAGTGACAAAAATAAGTGGAAATTAAGTTTAGAGTTCTCAACACGGAAACTGTAATTGCTAATTTTTTTTATTAATCTTGTATTATTAGTGACTTTGTCAATTCATGTTTTTGGCATTAAGCAAATAACAAGTTCTTGATTTATCCTTTATATATATATTTTGTAAACTAACAACAATAAAATTAAATTCATAGAATTCGAGAATGATACATTTATTACTAATTTAAAGAGTGAAGGGGTCCCATAAAAAAACAAGTTAAAATTCTAAAAATTCTAAACATTTTCATCAGAAAAGTATACAATGGAAGCTTAAGAAACATGAAATTCATGAGTTTTCCCTATCTAACTTCAAACAATTATGGGCAAATCGATTACTTATCTCTTTGATTTATTTTGTATAAAATGGAGGCAGATGAAACTATGGATTCTTTTTTCAATGAAAACAATTACTAAAGCTTAAACCGTTATATCACATTGGACATTCTTTCTGAAGGAGCAATTACATTCATCCATTTACCATGCAAAACAATCGAAATTAACTAAGACCAAAGGATTTATCAAATAAAAGAATATATGAATTTAATTTCCAAAAAAAGAAAAAGACAAAAAAAAAATGCAACTAACCAAGTGGCCATGTACATAACCTCCGAGAGGGGAAGCAAGGTAAAAAAAAAAAAGAAAGTAAAATTTCCGGGGCTTGGGTGAATAACCATTATATCAGACCCCAAAAGCGAAAAAAAAAAAAAGGGAAAAAAAAAGATAGAAACGGAAATTTTATTATTAAATTCATAGGTTATTTTGATTTTTATTTTTGGTTTTGACTTTTTTTTTCAAGAAAGAAAAACCTCAACGCTAGAATTCCTGACGGTGAAGCAAAGCGGGCAGGCCTGCGCCACTCGGTCACACTCTGTACACAAGCAAAGATGCCGACAGGGCAGGAGCACCACCGCCGCGACACGTGACCTACACGCCTTGCAAGCCGGTCCCGAAGCAGCCACCCGCTCCGGGTCCACGTAAGCCGACTCAGCGTCCTCCGCCTGGCCCTCCACTCCTCCCCAGCACTTTTGCCCCTCCTCCCCTCTCCTGCTATCCTGCGCCAAGGCAGCCCCTCTGCTGATTATGGCCTGTTGGAGCTGCGCTTGTAATGAAGCCACCGTTGCCTCCTGTGCCCTGGCTTTCGCCTGCCAAACCTGCGCCTCCACGCTAAGTTGCGCCACCCGTGCCTCCAACTCGGCGTTCCGTCGCGTTGCTTTCTCCACTTCCGCTTCTTTTTCTCTTAACCTCCTTGACACCGATTCCTCCGCTGCGCCCAGGAGCGCACGATAGTGCGTATTCCTTTTCTCCGCTAACGTGCGCCGTAATTCCTCACCCTTCAATAAATAACAAAGGAACCAAAAAAATGTTACATTCCCAAACTAAAATTTGACTAAAACCGATTTCGAGAAAGAGAAAACCGCTACCTGGGCTCGAAGAAAATGATCCAATTCTTCTCTCTGACGTTTGATTTGGGATGCCAAATCATCGGATACTATAGCCAAAAAAGCAGAGGAGTTGGAACCAAGATTTTGTTGTTGGGGATGGTGCTGTTGTTGTTGATAACTTTGATTTTGATTTTGCTGCAGGTTTTGTTGTTGGTCGCCAAAAGATAAGCGGAGGCCGGTGGAGACTACATTTGGTTGGTGGAGTTGAGAAAGGTCTATCAACTGAGGCGGTTGCGTTTGCAAAGAAAATGAATTGATTGGCGTTGTTATTGCCGCCCCTGCAACTTCTCTTCCTCTTTTCCGTGGATTATTATTGTTGAAGAACATATGGGATTGATCAACAAAAACTCCTCCTGCTTGTTGCTGCAATGAAAACTCATGCTCCTCTTGTCCACCTCTGAAAATATACGCCAAAACCAACAAAAGAAAAGAAAATTCTAATTAGATAAGAAATGATAGGCAGGCAGACAAAGAAAGAGATAGGGGCAGGCCAGGATGAACCTGTTTAAGAGGAGGACATTTGAAGGGTATTGAGCTTGAACGGCCATTACAGCAATGTGAAGGGAAAGCAATAAACTTTGAAGAAGATAAAGATGAAAGAAGATAAGGAATCGATCAAGCAATCAAGAATGAATGATAATAAGCTCAAGAACAAGCTGGTGAAGCATAACCCAATTAATCACCCTTCCTCTCATTTCTTCTTCTTTATTTTGGTTTTTCACCTACTTTCTGCCTCTTGCCTTTGCCTTGTTTGTTATGCTTCTCTTTCTTTCTTTGCTTCTTTGTTCCCTTTGTTTGATATATAGGTAGAACAGGGGAGGGAGGGAGGGAAAGAGAGAGAAAGAGATGCGATTGGAAAGAATCAGTCCAAGAGAGAGACACCTTATTCTGCTCTTTCTTTCTTTTGTTTTTGGTGCCTTTGCTTTGCTTCCTCTTCTTCTTCGCGTGGGGTTGGCTTTTCTTCAGGAGGAGTCTCGTGTTTGTTATCAACTTCACACGCCCAATAACTCCAATTAATACCTCCCCCTCTCCTTTCTTTTCCCTTTTTTTTTTTTAATTAATTACTAATTACCGTTTAATTAAAACAATTAATCTCCATAAATAAAATAATAATAATTTTCCTTTTTTAAGAAAATGGCGTCGGTAAAAGAAATCATATATATAGTGCTAATAGTAAGTTGAAAGCTGTTGTTGTAGGGCGTGCAGTCTCTGCCGCTGGGATTGTTTCTGTTTGTACATGGCCCATGCATTTTTCGCCAGCTTATTTTATTTTATTTTTTATTTTTATAATTCCTCATTCACTGATTTTCCATAATTATGTTCCTACCCATTTCTACATTCAAATTTCTTCGTTTAATTATATATAGTAAAATATCTTTAAATTTGAAATAAAAATTGGGGATTTGATTACGTGGTTTTGAAGGTTTGTTTTTGTTTTCATTCCTTATCTTGGAAAATAGAGAAGAATATATGAATATGTATGGATGAACCTAATTGCTTGGGTTGGGGGTGTTGGTTGGGGGTTCTAATTGATAAAAAAAATGGTGTTAGATCAAGAGTTTCTCTTAATACATACGACCATGTCAAATTACTAATGTGGTAGCTCTCCAAACCCTTTGTTTTGGGGATATAATCTGAAGATAGAAAAGAAATCTTCAACAGAAACAAGCTGTTGAATCAAGAGATCATTGTTTAAGCTTTTTCTATCTTTTTTTTTTTTTTTATGAACATGTAATTGGTGAATCAAGAGATTAAATTAAATTAACTGATCTCTAGTTGTAATGCTCCCATAGATTTAAAAAGAAAAAAAAAATGGAGAACAATGTTACAATTATTTTCAATTTATTAATGGGAATCCCCTGTCAATTCAATCAAAGGTTTCATTAAAGTCCCTTAAGAAAAAGTTTTCATTAAAGAAAATTCATTAAAATCATTTCCTTTTTTAAGAAGAAGAGTCACACCATCCCCATATAAATATTTCTAAATTTATCAATCATTCTTTAAGAATTTTCAATTACTCACCGCTTTTTTTTCATTTTCTACTAAAGACAAAGGATTTATTATATAACTTAAACTACATAAATTTATTATATAACTTCCCTCAATTAGTAATTATGACTTTCATAATTTATATATAAAACATCATCTTAACTAGTGCGAGCAGACACGTTAACATGTTATCTTCATGAATAGATAATCACCCAACCCTTTATTTCCAAGCAATTTAGTACTAATTAATCAAAGCTAATAAGTTTTAAGCCTAGCTAGATTAAGTGGATGCTTTGTGCATATGGTAAATGTTTGTGCTGAGCTATCTTACGAGGTTAAAAATATGAAATTATAAGATTAAAGGTTGATTAGAAATAAAGATCATAAGTTTTTTTAACGTTTGTATTTTGACACTCAAATTAATATTTAGAGACAGAGAAAAATAAAAAAATCTTTAAAAAGGAGAGAAAGAAATTGAATACCCGTATCAAATGTGATAAGGAATTATTTATATTTATAGGTGAGAATATTAAGCCTAAATGGTTCAAGATTTGAAAATTAGGCTTAAGATTAACAATACTGACCTAACCTAACCTAATAGGTAGAGGTCGAATAACAAGTCAATATTCTCATATGCTTTCAAGTGCAAAGTTAAACTGATCGAGTTAATATAAACTCCAAAATTTCAAATCAATCCGTCACATCAATTTGAATGAAAATGACAAAATTACCTTTGCTTTGTTGATGAATCACCTTATGAAGAAAAAAGTTCATGTTGCTTTTTTGATCATAAGGTGGCAATGTTTTTGTCAAGAGAATAATTAATAAAAGGTTTACATATTTTTATTTAATAGGCTCTTTTTATCGTGCGAATTTTATTAGTTAAAAATTTTACTATACAAAATACGGCAAGGCATATGCCTTTGCCTCTCACTTTTAACAAAGTGTATAGGAAATGTAAAATCATAAAAAGAAAATTGAAATTTAATTAAATCTCACAACATAAATTGCACTGGTATTTGTGACCATCCCCAAAACCAAGAAGGATTTTTAACTTTAATCAATGGAAGATAAAAAAATGGTGAAAGAGAGTGTTTGGAATGGAATCACTCATTGTGTTAGGCTTTGGTCCCACTAGGAAGGGTCGGCTCTCTCCCCTTCTTCTTCCCCTCCCAATAATTCCCATCCTTTAGCTATTAAAATCATAATCAAAACTCTCCTCTCATAGTAATACAAATCTGCACGGCAAATGCATATTCACTCTCACACCCAACTCATTTCCCATCGTTTTCTTCTCCCTTTCTCGAAGACAACATTTCCCTTTCCCTCCCTCTTCTCCCTTTTTTGCCTTGTTTTTGTTTGTTTTATCACAACTTTGGAACTAATGCAAAGGGCATCAACCCTGTCTTTTTTTTACTTGGCAATTTGCTTATACAAGAAGCTTATTGTTTTATTATTATTATATAGAATTACGTATGCCAATTTAGTTGATTTATATTATATCTTGATCATACCATAATATTATACTAGAATCGGATTTTGAAAATTTTTTAATATGTCTAGAAAATTAGTGACTTAAATGAAATGGGTCTTTCGAGATTTTGAAGACTTCATTGAAGTTGACTGGCTTGATTTTGATGGAATTATAAGAAACCAATGTTTTCATGAAATCAAATTAGACCAGCAGGCCAAATCGGTTCACCTTACAACTAGTGTTTTTTTTTTTTCTTATTTTGTAGTTGGTTGAGATTAAATAAAAAACCCTAATTTTTTTTTTTTACATCAAATCAACCACTTGGATAATAACTTGGTACATGAAATTTAGGTTTGAAATTAGAGTGAAAATTCAAGATTAATGTAAAAAATGAAATTGTTTTGATAAAAACAATGAGAAATGTTTTTGAGTCAATATAGCAACAGGCAAAAACAGCAAGGCTAGTCAACACGGTTGGGGGATCATTGTACTGGTTTAAAAAAAAAAAAAAAAAAAACAGAGTCTTAGCTATTTTTCTACATGCTTTTTTTGAATCCTCTTTTGGTTGTCTCCTAGAAGCTAATAATATGCTTTTTTTTTTTTTTCCCATAGGATTGAGGATTGGGGCATGAAACAAGGTCACGGAATTAGGCAAATTATATAGAGAAAAGTTAACCATAAAAAAGTTATGAGAGAGGAAACTTCATTAATCGCCATCTCTTTGTTGTTCGGACCAATTTCTTTTGATTCCATTTTTTTGTTTTATTTTCAATAATGATTAAGACTAATCTAAGGTACTCTCAGTGAAAGTATTAGTTTCATTATTCAAATTTGGAATATTTTATTAGCATTTTTTATGAAAAACTTTTAGTTGAAATGTTTGATGAAAGGTCAATTAAATCTTAAAAAATATTAGATTTCATTCTACATTTAAAAAAAAATGTTTAAGTGAAAAAAAATTACCCTATTTCAGAGTTAAGATATATCGTAAGGTGTAATGAGAATTATATGAGATTTACAGATTTTTCACAAAAAAAAAAAACCTAATGATAGTAAGAATCGAATCTAATTCTTATAAATGAAATATTCTATTTTTACCAATTCAATATTTTTTTGTTGATTTCATTCTACCATCTTTAGTAATAAAAAAAATAATGGTATTATGAATCATTGGAGTTTGGAAAAGAGAAAGTTAGGTTAAAGTTTTTCAATGTTTTTTTTTTTTTTTCCATATTTTAAGGATTATATAAACAATATAACTCATCATATACTTCAAGGATCAAAGTCATTCATTATAGCTTTCAAGTGAATAATGCAAGTAATCATGTGTCTTCTACAATCATACATTGATTATATTTGAAACAATTTATTTTATTAATATCAAATCCATTAAATTTGAGTCTATTTTCTTATGTCTGGTGCTTTTCATGGGATAAAAACTTTCAAGTCTGATGCGCATCATCATTTCCAAGAAGTAACATGAAATCAGGCGCATTTCCATGGGTTGAAGACATGCCAACTTTACTTAAAGACATTTCTTTAATGCTAACCCAACCATTCCCATCCATTTCCTTGTCCCACATCGCCCTCTCCAGGCTCAAAAAAAAAAAAAAAATTCTTTTCAATTTTTTTTATTTCTTGTTTATTTTCACCTTCCAAGCCTTTCTCTTCCCATTGTTTCTTTGCACTTAAAAAAATTCCTTGGACTTTGTTTTCTTTACATTCGCACCATCCTTATTCCTACACATCTCCACCACTTCCCAACAGTCTACCCACTACTTATGGCTTTCTTCACACCAAAATCACTGCCAACCATCCCCATTTCCAACTCACAAGTATTGCTATTTTTATTTTTCACTTCATTTTATTTATCATTTTCCATGTCCTTATATAAGCAATCCCCCCTTGAATCTTAATTGCTCTAGCTTGCTTTCATAAGTGCTAAAACCTAATGGCTTCACACCAAAGCAAAAGGCATTTTTTTCTGCTACTAAATTCTAAACATTGGTAATTTAATGTAAAAAATATATGTAATTTATTCAAAATAAAAACTCTTTTGTGGGATATGAAAAGTAAGGAATAAGCGCTACTAATCTATAGCGTATCACAATAATTATAACATACAATATGGTATATTATCTTATTATTCATGGGTATTTTATGAACTAACAAGATGAGAGGAAATGGAGTACTAGTGATCTACATTTGTTTGTTGTCAAATTATTCATGAATTGACACCTAATTCAAGCTAATTGGATCACTCAACTATTACCTCAAAGGTTTGCCACTCAATAATTGGTTGATGAGCTTATTGCAAAAAAAAAAAAAAAGTGAGAGTGAGTTAGTGATTGATGATTAACATGATTAGAATATAAAATAATCAATAAATTTAATTTCTAAGCAAAACCCAGTTTTAACTCACCAAAAAGAGATGAGAGTGTTGTGGTGGGATACCTATTACCTAATTCTATTCTTTTTACAAGAGTTACCTCAATGTATGCTTGTTCTTATAATTCTTGCAATGTACTATATGGAA